TGAGTTGGAGTCTCACCCTGTTGCCCAGACTGGAGTGCAGTGGCCACTCCCGGCCACCGCAGCCTCGACCTGCTGGGCTCTGGCGATCCTTCCACCTGTAGCTAGAATTACAGGTGCATGCTACCACGCCCGGCTAATTTTTTATTGCCCAGGCGGGTCTCGAACCTACAGGCTCAGGCAATCCACTCGCCTCAGCCTCCCAAAGGCGCGGGATAACTGGCTGAGCCACCGAGCCATTCTTATTAAATTAAAGGCTTGTGGCAAATGGTTCAAAAGGAAGCTATATTCAAAACTGAATACACCCCATCACAAAAAGTGAAACACAAGAATATGCAAAGACACAAAATCCAACAGGTACAGAATTTTTTAAAGACCAATTTCAACAGGAACAAAGAACACTAAATTTCTAAATACAAAATAAAAGCCCAAGCTTAACATAATCTATACTTAAGTATTTCTTAGAAGAAACTGACGTAGACCAAAGATTAAAAAGTGGGCACCTAGCTGAGTTTGGTGGCTCAGCCTGTAATCCCAGCGCTTTGGGAGACCAAGGCAAGCGGACTGCCTGAGCCCGCAGGTTCAAGACCTGCCCGGACAACGTGGCCAGACCTCGTCTCTACAGTAAATAAAAAATTAGCCAGGAGTGGTAGCGCGCGCCTGTAGTTCCAGTTACTTGGAAGACTGAGGCAGAACAATCAGTGAAACCCAGCAGGTCAAGGCTGCGGTGGCTGGGAGCGTGCCACTGCACTTCAGTCTAGGCGACAGAGTGAAACTCCAACTCAAAAAAACAAAAAAAAGTAGGCACCTGAAAACTTGTGTTTACTTTGGTCTCCATAGTGAATTTAATTTGAATTAGTCGACAAAATTGGGATTTCATATAAAAGCCTAGACTCTCATTTCTTTTCTGAGTTGGAGTCTCACTCTGTCGCCCAGGCTGGAGTGCAATGGTATGATCATGGCCACCGAAGCCTAGACCTGATGGACTCAGGCAATCTTTCCGCTTCAACCTTCCAAATAGCTGGAACTACAGACATGAGCCAGGAAGCCCGGCTAATTTTTTGGCTGATTGTAGAGATGAAATCTCATCAAGTTGCCCGGGTTAGTCTTGAACCTGTGAGCCCAGACAATCCTCTCACCTCAGCCTCCCAAAGTGCTGGGATTATAGGAGTGAGCCACCACGCCCGGCCTTTTTCTTTTACACATTTTAATATGAAAATGTTCAGCCAGGCTCAGTGGCTCAGCCTGTAATCCCATGTGCCTCGGGAGGCTGAGGTGAGTGGATTGCCTGAGCCCGCGGGTTCAAGACTCACCTAGGCAACTTGGTGAGACCTCATCTCTACACTAAAATCAAAAAATTAGCCGGGCGTGGTAGCGCACGCCTGTAATTCCGGCTACTCGGGAGGCTGAGGCGGAAGGACTGCCGGAGCCCAGCAGTTGAGGCTACGGTGGCCAGGCCCAGCCACTGCACTCCAGTCTGGATGACAGAGTGAGACTCCAACTCAGAAAAAAAAAATGTTCAAACACACCCAAGAATAGTTTAAAAATATATATATATAATGAACATCTATGTATCCATATCCAGCCTCAACAATTACTTACCCATGGAGAACTTTATCTATATCCCCTCAATAATTCCTATCCCTCTCCACCCAACTGCTCAATTATTTTCACACGAACAGTCTTATGATTTTTATCCTGGTTCAAAAAGACAAAATACAAATTCAGGAGAACTGTGACACCAAGCCTGTATTAGCAAATATCAACTATAAGCTGACAATAAGTTCTAGAAACCATTAGATGAGTCATTCAGTCCCTGGATGACCGAATCTCTAACCCCTCAGGAATCTGAATTTGTGACCCTGATTTAAGGATATGAAAGTCATCTAAATCATTATGACTGTGTTTTGGGTTCACAAAACAGTAAGGCAGGAACACTATCTATACTCTTCTCTTCTTTTTTTTGAGTTAGAGTCTCACTCTGTTGCCCAGGCTGGAGTGCGGTAGCACGCTCACAGCCACCACAGCCTTGACCTGCTGGGCTCAGGTGACCCTTCCACCTCAGCCTTCCAAGTAGCTGGAACCACAGACATGCACCATCATGCCCGGCTAATTTTTTTATTGATTATAGAGACAAGGTCTCGCCATTTTACCCAGGCTAATCTCAAACACCTGGATTCAGGCAATCTCTTGCCTCCACCTCCCAAAATGCTTGGATTATAGGTTCGAGCCAATGCGTCTGGCGAATACTCTTCCACTCTTCTAAATGACACCCAGAGCAGTCATACTGAATACTTCTATTAGGAAGCTACATTAATGGACTTTGAAACTTGTCTGGTAGGCATCAGTCACATCTGTCCCAAATCTGATTAATTCAGTTATAACTCATACTCTAATTTTCTGCAAACCAATAAAACCTGAGTATGAAAACAAAATTATTTCTATTAAAACTAACTTGATACTTAGAAAGACTCAGGCAAATCATACCACCAAAATGCTCCCAAATATAATCACAAGAGATTGAACTAGATTATATCGCAAGGTGTCTGACTACTTCAAAGAAAATGAAACTAAAGTTGGTAAAGGAAGTATAATAGTTACGGCTTATGCAAGAAATACAAACCAGGTTTGGTGGCTCAGCCTGTAATCCTGCACCTTTGGGAGGCTGAGGTGAGTGGATTGCCTGAGCCCACCGGTTCGAGACCCGCCTAGGCAACCTGGTGAGACCTGACCTCTACAATAAGTCAAACTTAGCCGGGTGTGGTAGCGCGCACCTGTAGTTCCAGCTACTTGGAAGGCTGAGGCAGAAGGATCGCTGGAGCGCAGCAGGTTGAGGCTGCGGTGGCTGGGAACGGCCACAGCACCCCAGTCTATGTGACAGAGTGAGACTCCAACTCAAAAAAATAGAAATACAGGGTGTTCTAATCAGCAGATTCTCAAAGCAAAGGTCCTGCCCACATAGCAGAAAGATGTACAAATTAACTCACATTTGTTTACAACAGAATAAAATGTTTGCCAGGCATAGTGGCTCACTCCTGTAATCCCAGCACATTGAGAGGTAGAGGCAAGAGGATTGCCTGAGCCCCCAGGCTCAAGACCAGCCTGGGCAACATGGTGAAACGTTGTCTCTACAATAAATCAAAAAATTATTTGGGGGCAATGGTGCATGCCTGTGGTTCCAACTACTTGGAAGGTTGAGGCAAAAGGATCACCTGAGCTCAGCAGGATAAGGCAGCGGTGGCCCTGAGTACACCACTCACTCCTCCCTGGGCAACAGTGAGACTGACTCAAAATAAATAATAAATAAAAATAACAAAATAAAATGTTTGAAGTGTAACATTTTTTTCCCCGAGGCTGAATTTAAAAAACTCAGCCTGGAGCGGGTGCAGTGGCTCACGCCTATAATCCCAGTCTCTTGACTGCCTGAGCCCATGGGTTTGAGACCAGCCTGGGCAACTTAGCGAGCCCTCATCTCTACAATAAATCAAAAAATTAGCTGAGCATGGTGGCGCATGCCTGTAGTTCCAGCTACTTGGAAGGATGAGGCAGAAGGATCGCCGGAGCCCAGTGGGTCGAGGCTGCGGTGGCCAGGAGCAGCCACTGCACTCCAGTCTGGGCAACAGAGTGAGACTCCAACTCAAAAAAAAAAACAGTAAGACCCTATTTTTAAAAAATGAAAAAAAAACAACTACCGGGTCTTTTTCATATACTGATTTGGCCTAGTTAACCTGAAAGATGTAATCAGCCACAGGACATAGCTCTGCTCCTAACCAAAACTGAGAGGTCATATCTACCCTTCCTCTCAGCCCAAATGGAACAAACTCTTCTACTCTTCTCTTCATTACAAATGGCCAAAAATCAGGGTAAGGGAAGGAAACAGGAGGAAGGGAGAAGTTTTTAGTAGCACAATGTCATTATACTCAGAAAGCAAATATTTATTTTCTTTATCTTTAATGATTAATCAGATTTAATCTGTTGCACGATACATTTAGACAGTAAATTTAAAATTCCATTTAACTGGAAAACTAAAACACAATGAAGCAAACCAGAAAGAAAGACATTCAGACATACCAGGTCCCACTGGCATCATCCCAGGAGGAGGAGGTCCCATCATTGGCATCATGGGAGGGCCCCCCATATGGGGTGCTGGCATCATACCAGGGCGAGGAGGACCCGCTGAAATAAAGGATGAAGTCTGTGATTAGGGTATATTTATATACTGACGTTTTCTCTTCTCAATGAAACTAATAAGGACTCATGAACTGGTTCAAATTCTGAAACAATGGAGCTGTTACTGTTTCTTTTTATAACAGGAGTCCCACAAAAGAAAACCACATACCACAAAACATTTCTTTATAACTAAAAAGCAAGAATAGGCGGGGCTCAGTGGCTCAGCCTGTAATCCCAGTCCTTTGGGAAGTTGAGGCAAATGGATTGCCTGAGCCCACGGATTCAAGACCAGCCCAGAAAACTTGGCGGGACCCCATTTCTACAATAAATCAAAAGAAATTAGCCAGGCATAGTAGCATGTGCTTGTAGTTCCAGCTACTTGGAAGGTTGAGGCAGAAGGATCGCCAGAGCTCAGCTGGTCGACAATGAGGTGGCTTTTGAGTGTGCTACTGCGCCACTGCACTCTGGTCTGGATGACAGAGTGAGACTCCAACTCAAAAAAAAAAAAAAAAGATCAGCTTATGCAACATAGTAAGACCTCATCTCTAAAAGAAATCAAAAAATTAGTTAGGCATGGTGGTGCAGACCTCTAGTCCCAGCTACACGGGAGGCTGAGGCGGAAGTCTTGCCTAAGCCCAGGAGATCAAGACTGGTGAGCTGTAAGTGTGCCACTGCACTCCAGCTTAGGCAACAGAGTAAGACTCTGACTCAATGTAGCAATAATAATAATAATAATGAGTTGAGTTCCAGTTCAACAAGGTGGAGTAAGAGCAAAAAGTAATTGTAGAATTCCTATGGGCTATGGCCTGATGGCAGGAGATGAGTGGTCCACTTACATCAGTGCACAGCTATTACAAAGAGTCTATTTCTGTACTTATATCCATGATTATGTACAAGACTGAGTTTAGGTTTCTGAATTCAATTTCAATCTGAACCCTTATGGGAGAGCTAAAGAACTTATGACCTAGTACAATACTCAACCTCCTCCCGTCTGCCAAGCAGAAACAACAAACATCCCCCGAATGCAGAAACCCATGATGCACTCCACATTTTTTATTTTATTTTATTTTTTTTTTTGAGTTGGAGTCTCACTCTGTCGCCCAGACTGGAGTGTAGTGGCCGCTCCCGGCCCCCGCAGCCTCGACCTGCTGGGCTCTGGCAATCCTTCCGCCTCACCCTTCCGAGTAGCCGGAATTACAGGCATGCGCTACCACCCCCGGCTTATTTTTTTGATTTATTGTAGAGATGAGGTCTCGTTGCCCAGGGAGGTCTCGAACCCGCGGGCTCAGACAATCCACTCACCTCAGCCTCCCAAAGGCGCAGGATTACAGGCTGAGCCACTGAGCCCGGCTTTTCTATTTTTTAATTTAAAAAAACTTAGAGATGGGGGTATCATTTTGTCACCCATGCGGGAGTACAGTGGTGCTATCATAGTTCACTGCAGCCTCCAACTTCTGGGTTCCAACGATCAGCCTACCAAGTAGCTTGGACTACAGGGCCATGCCATTCACACCTGTCAAGCTTGGTTTTTTTTTTTTTTTTTTTTTAAAGAGATGGGGTGTCACTATGTTACCCAGGCTGGTCTCAAATTCCTGATTTCAAGCGATCCTCCCACTTCAGCCTCCCAAAGTGCTGGGATTATAGGCATGACCCACCATGTCCAACCCAATGCACTTTCTTTTTTTTTTTTTGAGTTGGGAGTCTCACTCTGTCGCCTAGACTGGAATGCAGTGGCCGCTCCCGGCCACCACAGCCTCAACCTGCTGGGCTCCAGCGATCCTTCCACCTCAGCCTTCCAAGTAGCTGGAACTACAGACGTGCACTGCCATGCCCGGCTCATTTTTGATTTATTGTAGAGATGAGGTCTCACCAACTTGCCCAGGTGGGTCTTGAACCTGCAGGCTCTGGCAATTCACTCACCTCAGCCTCCCAAAGGTACAGGATTACAGGTTGAGCCACCGAGACCGGCTTCTTTTTTTATTTTTTTTTGAGTCAAAGTCTTACTCTCTGTCACCCAGGCTGGAGTACAGTGGCATGCTCATGACTACCACAGCCTCAATCTGCTAGGCTCAGGTGATCCTTTTGCCTCAGCTTTCTAAGTAGCCAGAACCATAGGTGTGCACCACCCTGCCCGGCTAACTCTTTTTATTTATTGTAGAGATGAGATCTCACCCTGTTGCTCAGGCTGGGCTTAAACCCCTGGACTCAGGCAATCCTCTTTCCTTTTTTTTTTTGAGTTGGTAGAGTCTCACTCTGTTGCCCAGGCTGGAGTGCAGTGGCATGCTAACAGCCACCGCAGCCTTGACCTACTAGACTCAGGTGATCCTTCCACTTTAGCCTGCCAAGTAGCTGGAACCACAGGTACACAACACAACACCCAGCTGATTTTTTGATTTATTGTAGAGATGAGGTCTTTCCAAGTTGCCCAGGCTGGTCTTGAACCTGTGGGCTCAGGCAATCCTCTCACCTCAGCCTCCAAAAGTGCTGGGATTATAGGCATGAGCCACCTTGCCCAGCCCAATCCAGTTTCAATTGTCCAATTCTTATATTTCACAAGGCAAATTTTTTGGTGTTAAGTGAGTTATAAAGTAAGAGGAAAGACCAAAGCATTTATCAGCTTTTTCAGTCCTCCAGTGCTGTGTTCATAGCAGTAAGTAATTTAATGTACTCAGCAACTCCTGTTCATATATTACTCATCTATTCACAGGTTCATTCTGAGCTTTCCATTTGAATCTGTTCTAGACTCACACTTGGGATGCCACAAATATAGTACTCTAGTAATAATGCAATAAGAAGTTAACTCTGAAGTTATTTATAAATTATACCATTAAAGTTGTTTTAGGCCAGGCTTGGTGGCTCAGCCTGTAATCCCAGCACTTTGGGAGGCTGAGGTGAGTGGATTGTCTGAGCCCGTGGGTTCGAGACCCACCCGGGTCACTTGGCAAGACCTCATCTCTACAATAAATCAAAAATTAGCCGGGCGTGGTAACATGTGCCTGTAGTTCCGGCTACTTGGAAGGCTGAGGTGGAAGGATCGCTGGAGCCCAGTAGGTCGAGGCTGTGGTGGCTGGGAGTGTGCCCCTTCACTCCAGTCTGGGCGACGGAGTGAGACTCCGACTCAAAAAATAAAAAAATTAGCCGGGCTCGGTGGCTCAGCCTGTAATTCCGCACCTTTGGGAGGCTGAGGTGAGTGGATTGCCTGAGCCTGCGGGATCGAGACCCGCCTGGGCAGTGAGACCTCATCTCTACAATAAATCAAAAAATCAGCTGGGCATGGTAGCGCATGCCTGTAATTCCGGCTACGCAGAAGGCTGAGGCGGAAGGATCGCCGGAGCCCAGCAGGTTGAGGCTGCGGTGGCCAGAAGCAGCCACTGCACTCCAGTCTGGGCGACAGAGTGAGACTACAACTCAAAAAATAAAAAAAATAAAAATAAAGTTCCTAGCCGGGCTCGGTGATTCAGCCTGTAATCCCACGCCTTTGGGAGGCTGAGGTGAGTGGATTGCCTGAGCCCGCAGGTTCGAGACCCGCCTGGGCAGCAAGACCTCATCTCTACAATAAATCAAAAAATCAGCCGGGCGTGGTCGCGCGTGCCTGTAATTCCGGCTACTCAGAAGGCTGAGGCAGAAGGATCGCCGGAGCCCAGCAGGTCGAGGCTGCGGTGGCGGGGAGCGGCCACTGCACTCCAGTCTGGGCGACAGAGTGAGACTTCAACTCAAAAAAAAATAAAATAAAATAAAAAATAAAATAAAAAAATAAAGTTCTTTTCTATTACAATCTATGTATTCATTCAATAAGCATTTGAAAGTCAACTGTGAGATAATCTAACCCAATCAAAGGATAATCTACCCAATTACATCCTTTAAGATAAAAACTTTAAACTTACGAAGACTAGGGGGAGGTGGGATCATCGCTCCTGCAGGAGGCGGAGCAGAGAATGGAGTAGGAGGTATCTTTCCTTGTTGAAATGCAGCAGCTGTGAAGAAGAGGGTGAGAAAACAACATACAGTAAATAAGAAACCCAACACCATTTACTAAAATAACAACATCTTTTATACCTTTAATGTTTCCAATTACCTCACCTTTTTCTTTTTTTTGAGTAGGAGTCTTACCCAGGCTGAAGTGCAGTGTCATGTTGATGGCCACCGCAGACTCCACTGCTGGGTTCAAGTGATCCTTCCACCTCAGTCTTCCAAATAGTTGGAACCACAAGCACACACCACCACGCCCAGCTAATTTTTCTTTTTTTAATTTATTGTAGAGACGAGGTCTCGACAAGTTTCCCAGGCTGGTCTCAAATCCCTGGACTCAGGCAATTCTCTCGCCCAAAGTACTGGGATTACAGGCATGAGCCACCTCGCCTGGCTCAATTACCTCACTCTTGCAAGTATTCATCTAAATTTACTGCATCATAGTTCTACAGTTTTAAAATCATTTTTAGGAATTCACCAGCTAAAACTGCAATTAGCTAGTCTACTAATTAAGGTTTTGTTTTTTTTTTTGAGTTGGAGTCTCACTTTATCGCCCAGACTGGAGTGCAGTGGCCGCTCCCAGACACCGCAGCCTCGACCTGCTGGGCTCTGGCGATCCTTCTGCCTCAGCCTTCCAAGTAGCCGGCATTGTAGGCATGTGCTACCACGCCCGGCTGATTTTTCTGATTTTAGAGATGAGGTCTCGCTGCCCAGGCAGGTCTCAAACCCGCGGGCTCAGGCAATTCACCCACCTCAGCCTCCAAAAGGCACGGAATTACAGGCTGAGCCACCAAGTCCGACTTAATTTAGGTTTTTAAAGCTATTTTTACCTAGCATTTCTAAAGTAAAATTAACTATGGGAGAAGGGAGTGAAAATTTCCTACCTACCAATGTCTTTTACCAAAAACGAGAGGTCTTTAATCTGTAGGTGTGGTTTATAACTAATTCAAGTTATTCATAGTTTTACTTGAAAAATGTAAGATACATGCACAAAGACCATTTTTCTCCTTACTGTGCACAGTCCTGGGTCAAAACAACACACCATGTTGGTTTATCAGTTTTGAAATCAATACACTGCCGGGCTCGGTGGCTTAGCCTGTAATCCCACGCCTTTAGGAGGCTGAGGTGAGTGGACTGCCTGAGCCTGCGGGTTTGAGACCCGCCTAAGCAGCGAGACCTCATCTCTACAATAAATCAAAAAATCAGCCGGGCGTGGTAGCGCATGCCTGTAATTCCAGCTACTCGGAAGGCTGAAGCGGAAAGATCACCGGAGCCCAGCAGGCGAGGCTGCGGTGGCCAGGAGCGGCCATTGCACTCCAGTCTGGGCTACTGGGTTGATTCCAACTCAAAGAAAAAAAAAACAAACATACACTGAGCTAGGAGATGCAGAAGAAACAAAGATTTCAAGCAAGAGCCTGCCCTAAAGGAGAGTATAATCTTAAAGAAAGTTCAATAAAGTCAACTATTAATTTCTCTTTCTGATAATATGAGGAACAAGTGAAAACAAAGAAAGTGAAGATCTATATTTGGTTTTGGAAAGGAGTCACAAGTAAGACACGAAAACACATATTCACAGACTCTATTCCTGATGTAAGCCCTTGCCAATTTAGTGATGTCTGCAGCCCATCCCCTTTCACTCCCACCAATGCAAAGGAGGTCAAATAACTCAAGTTAATCAGTGATAATTCATGGGGATCCGATTAAAGGAAAAAAGCAAACAGGGCAACCCCTTCAGGTCCCCTCCCACTGTGAGAGCTTTTCTGTCCTCTCAATAAATCCTGCTTTCTCAAAAAAAAGAAAAAGAAAAAGAAAAAAAACCTGCAGCGGCAGGTTCCCGGCCACTGTAGCCTCAATCTGCTGGGCTCTGGTGATCCTTCCAACTCAGCCTTCGTAGTAGGAACTACAGGCACACACTACCATGCCTGGCTACTATTTTTCATTTATTGTAGAGATGAGTTCTCACCAAGTTGCCCAGGTAGGTCTCGAACTCTCAGCCTCAGAAAATCCACAGGCTGAGCCACTGAGCCCAGCCTGTTAATCTTTTAATGTCAAGAAATTTCAAACATCTTTTCAACTAGGGGGAAAAAGATTACAACATCATTCATTTTTTCATATGAAATGGGACAATGTCTGGGATTTGCTCCATAATAACTCAGGAAGGAGAAAAAGAGTAGATGAAGATATTCAACGGCTCTCAGTCAGGCACAATTTTATTTCTTTGGGAGACACTGGGCAATGCCTGGAGACGTTTTCAGTAGTCACAACTAAGTGTAGGTACTGGCCTCTGGAGGGTAGATGCTAGGGATGCTGCTAAGCATTTTACAATGCACAGATTCCCACAACAAAGAATTATCCAACCCTAAATGTCAATACTACCAAGGGTAAGAACCCTGGTAGAAGCAAAAGAAGAGTACTGCTACTGTTACTGTATTATGGCAAAGAGGGGCAGGAGGTGGGAGGTAGGAGAGAGGAATAAGAGATTCATTAATCAAACTTGTCTTTCTACATTTTTAAAACTATTTTATAATAGTTTTGCTTTTCTTTAAAACCACAATGTCCACACTTGCCTGAAAGCTCTGAGTACAATGAGTCAGAAAGGCTGTGATTCAAATATACCAGGAAGATCTAAAGTAAAAATGTAACAGCTCCTTCTACCAGTGCCTTGGACTCAACAAACCAGGAGAGCTGGGCTCAGTGGCTCAGCCTGTAATCCCTCGCTTAGGGAGGCTGAGATGAGTGGATTGCCGGGAGCGGCCACTGCACTCCAGTCTGGGCGACAGAGTGAGACTCCAACTCAAAAAACAAACAAACAAACCAGGATGGCCAGACTCGGGGGCTCAGGCTGGACTCAGTGGCTCACGCTGTAATCCCAGCACTTTGGGAGGCTGAGGCAAGTAGATTGCCTGAGCCCATGGATGCGAGACCCACCCAGGCAACTTGGCGAAATCTCGTCTCTACAATAAATCAAAAATTAGCTGGGCATGGTAGCACACGCCAGTAGTTCTGGCTACTTGGAAGGCTGAGGTGGGAGGATCGCCTGAGCTCAGCAGGTCGAGGCTACGGCGGCCGGGAGCTTGACACTGCACTCCAGTCTGAGCGACAGAGTGAGACTCCAACTCAGAAAAAACAAACCAGGACAACAGAATATTCCTAGCTAACAAAGAGTATGGGATGTACAAGAGGGGTCCAGACATATCCCGACTATTTTGTTACATCAGTTAGTTTCTTTTTGATTAGTTCTCTTTGTGAGGACTACAAATAAGAAAGCTAAATAAATATTATCACACTATTTAGAGAACCACAAACCCACCCCAACCTCTTCCTATTAGAACGGAGTAGTACATCTAACATCTATGTATCACTACAAAGGGGGTTTTATATAAATCTGCTACAAAATCTGGTCCATGTCACTAGAGAAATATTGAGCAAATCCACTTGTCTCTGCCTCACCTCCCAGTCCAAGCAATACCTTATTGCTCTATCTCTCATTGCTCTATCTTGAATAATTAATATCAATGTGTTTCTATATCCCTGGGAAACCAATGACCTTCCACTTCCTTCATTCAACATATCCAAATGCACCATTTATCATTCAGAATGAGTTAGTTGCTTCTGTGGAAAACAACAGAGATACTGAGACAAGAAAGAATGGGTCCGTTACCACATCAGAACAAGAGACTGAAACATACTTGTTTTGTCAATCAGGCTCTGAGCCTGCTCTTCCATCCATTTCTGATAGTAGTCTTTCACATTCTCTTTGTGTTTCCTACCACTGCAATGTGTCTTTCTCACAGATGGCTGTAAAACAGAAAGGTCACATCAGATATAAAAACTAAAAATGTTATAAAGCTTTACCTTTATATAGGCAACCCAGCTAGCATTAACAGCTTTAGCTGGCTGCTAAAGCATCGTTTATAAACATTATCCAGAAACACACTGCAGTAATTTTTTAATTTTTTTGGGTTGGAGTCTCACACTCTGTCACCCAGACTGGAGTGCAGTGGCCGCTCCCGGCCACCCGAGTCTCAAACTGTTGGGCTCCGGCGATCCTTCCGCCTCAGTCTTCCAATTAGCTGCAACTACAGGTGTGCGCTACCATACCCAGCGGATTTTTTTTTTTGAGTTGGGGTCTCACTCTGTCACCCAGGCTGGAGTGCAATGGCCGCTTCTGGCCACCGCAGCCTCGACCTGCTGGGCTCTGGCAATCCTTCTGCCTCGGCCTTCCAAGTAGCTGGAACTACAGGCACGCGCTACCATGCCCAGCTGATTTTTGATTTATTGTAGAGATAAGGTCTCGCCAAGCTGTCCAGACGGGTCTCGAACCTGCGGGCTCAGGCAATCCACTCACCTCAGCCTCCCAAAGGTGCGGGATTATAGGCTGAGCCACCGAGCTCGGCTGATTTTTGATTTATTGTAGAGATGAGGTCTCGCCAAGTTGTCCAGGCGGGTCATGAACCCATGGGCTCAGGCAATTCACTCACCTCAGTCTCTCAAGGCGTGGGATTACAGGCTGAGCCACCAAGCCCCGCTCACACTGCGGTAATTAATGTATTATCTTGGGAGCAGAGATCAGCAAACTATGACATACGGACCAGCCACTTGTTTTTGTAAAAAATAGTACTGCAACAGAGCCACGTTCATTCTTTTTTTTTTTTTTTTT